TTTAACTTCAAATATTATCTACCTTCTACATGTACAAAATCTATTGATGCCTTAGAAGAAGATGAAGAAAAAGTGTGCCTTTAATAACAAATTCTTTTCAATGAATCTTACTAATTTATATAGAACTTCAAAATGAGCTGTATGAGCCAGTAACACATTGGGAGTCTTAACTTATTTTTATTAGTATTTACAACAGGTGGTTTCATGAGCCATGAAAGCAAAAAGGTAGTGTATGGAGTTAAAGGAATCATTTTCAGTTCTCTAATTTCCATTGGGGGTTATTAAATGTTTAAAAAAAAGAAAAAGAGAGGAAAGAAGGGAGAGAGAGTGAGAGAGAGACAGAGAGAGAGAGAGAGACAGAGGGACAGATACAGAGAGAGAAGAAAAAGGAAAAGTAGAATAAGCTATTGACCTTGGTGAAACAATGGAAACATTTTGAAACTGTGTCTTCCATTAACCCATACACTTGCGTATGTATATGACTTTCAAAACCCCACACCCAAGTCATCTAATTCGTTGATTAGGAGAATCAAAAATAAAATCTGTTAGTATCTGAAATTTGAAAGTACCAGTTAAGTTTGGCACTTAAGTCATTTATTTTACAGTGCATACTATCACTTTGCTTTCCCAACCTTCACAAATACTTGTGGATACTAGCAAAAATAGCTTTAAGATTGACAATACTGTCACATATATATCATTGAGGAAGAAATTATTTGTAAGTTAATAAAATACATTGAAAAGATTTTATTAACAAGGGTACAACTATTATTGAGGTCTTACATATCCACAGACTGTGTATCTCTTATTTCTGAGTAAATATTTGACTAAGATGCCATTTTACTTTACACTGAAGTGCAATATGCCTTTCTATATACGGTGTTCTATCCTCTGCAGTCACAGAAATTAATGAGTTCAGCTTTGAAGATGCTAGAGCAGCCGCAGAACTGAGTCCTGGGCTCATGTTGCTTGCAAAAACACATGATCTATGTTCCCACAGTAGAATCCAGAGCCTCGTGAGGTCCTGTAGCTTTTTAATCTTGTAAAACACAGATTCTGAAGATGATGCTGACAGGGTGGAAGGGTTTGGGTTCTGCGACTGTTTAAGTATTTCTGAGAAATGAGGGGGATTTTCTTCTCTGGCAAGGCACCTCATTGCTGTAGTTCCCTTTTCCTTTTCTTTCTCTCATTTACTTGTCTTACACATAAAATTTCATCCTGGGAAAAAGAAATTGCACAAAATGATTTCCTTTGTAACGGGTACCCTTCAGTACCATCAATCTCATCTTCTTTTTCAGATATGTGAAGAATTTGAAATGGAGGAAGCTGTTTTCTTTCTTTTTTCCCTAAATTTTTATTTTAGCTGGAGTCCCTCAAGAATCTTGATCTGAGATCTGTACCTATGACATCTCTCCTTATCCAAACTACCATTGCCAGGGAAGAAAATCCTCCCGCACATTTGCCTCAAAGAAGATGAAATCACATGGATGAATTCTAATCTATCATATGGATCTCTCTTCTAAACCCATTCCCCTGTCACCTTTTACTAACCTTTTTCCAGTTTTAGATCAAAACTATAAAACTGGAGTCGATGTGAATGGTGATAAATGCTTTGAATTTTAGAATCCTGTGGAAATATAGCCAAATTTCTTGGCCTTCCACAGCTTCTTTCTCCTTGTCCATGTAATGGTAATAATAATAATAGTATTTTATTTTAGGGTTGTTGGGAAATGTAATGGATGAAACATACAAAGAATAGCACCATAAGTATGTGATATGGTTGTTATAATTAGTAAGGAAAAAACTCTCTTGCTGGTACATATGAAATCAGAGTTTACTTTTTTTCTTTGACTATTGTCTAAATTTTATTTCCCATCATTTTCAATATTTTCCCTATATTTCTACTTAAGCCAACATTGTCCTTTTTTTTTTACTTTGGTTGAGAATAAGAATAAAGTTCCAAGAAATAGTAGTAGAACAAAGTGAACCCTGAGCTAAAAGTTACAACAAGCTAATTTTACTATTTACTCATCCTTTTAAATCAAAAGAACAAGATGTAAACTATTTTTTTAACACCATCTCTTGTGCTTCAGGCTCCATGGTGCCTTAGAAAACATGAAAGAGACTGATTTACAATCACTTTGGGAAAGTTGCCTGTAGAACTCTAAGGACGGGAAATGAAAAAAAAAAAAAAAAGTACAGCACACACCCCAGGACATTCCACACAACATGTAGAATAAACAAGCCCAGAAAGGAAACTAAAAGCTCTTGGTCTTACATTGAAGGGGCTCCTTAAATGGCTTTTCACTACAGATGATGGTGTGATGGAAAAAGCTTTCAAAAGTGTGAAATTGATCACCATGAAAAAGAATCCTTTTTGTCTATGGCTAAAGCCTGTTGAATGCTTTGAATTTAGGTAAATTTCATTACCTGCATCAACATTATGAAAAGAAATAACACGTTATAGAGCTTTGCTTCTGAAACTTTAACAGGACTAAGATTTCTCCAGGTGTCTTGTCATAATCTTGATGCTGATTCAGGAAATACGGGTAGGACATGGAATTCTACATCCTTCACCAGCTCCTGCTGCTGGCCTGTGGGCCACAGTTGGTGTTCAGTCACCTTCTCCAACAAAATAATTGGTGGTAGTGTTCTCATCTTTATCTGTTCAACAATCATTTTCAGTTGTGAGCAGTTTGGGCCTTAGAAGAATTTGGTGTTGTCTGGAGACATTTTTTTCATCATCAAAAGTTATGTAGTTCTACTGATATCACATGGCTAAGGGCCGGGGATGTTGCTAAAAACTCCTCAATACAGGATAGCCCATCATATAAGGAATTTGTCTGACCCAAAAAATCAATAGTGCCAAAGTTGAGAAACCCTGATATAAAAGTACTATTTTCTGTATTTCTCTGATCAAAAATAATGTTAAAATTGTTGAAAAAAATCAAAAATAAAACCTGTAAATAAAGGGTAAAAGCATATAATATTTAGCTTGGAGCAGAGTGGCAGTGTTTAAAAAAAGATCTTCAAATATATAAAAACCTATTATGCAGAAGATGGTAACCAGCTGTTCTCTATTACCCTTGAAGAATGAATAGGAAATGTACATAAAAGGACCTGTGCTTTTCCTCCTTTCTTTGTCCTGCCTCCTTCACTCTAGCCAGGCAAATCTCTTCATGTACTTGCAACCATATTTGTCTCGTCCCATGTCTTGCTACTTGTGGAGACCCTCCCAAATCTTGGGTACACATTTTCTTGCTGCCAAATCTGTCTCCCTCCCCTTAAAAAACTAATTAGAAAATTTTTATCATCATAAAATCTTCCTTACCTAAGATGGAATAGTTGCTAGTTCATCTCCAACTGTAGTTGGCACACTTGCCCTTTCAATATGTTATCTTTCAGTCTACAAATGTGTTACTGCCTGTCTGTATACAAGGAGCGGTGCTAAATTTTGATAAGGCATAAAAAGATGAGTAAGACAGAATTTTCCAAACTAGGGAAAAAAAACTCATGCAGATAACTATAAATAGTATTTAATAGTTATCTCTAATAAGAAATTTTTTTAAGAAGAGGTTTTAAGTGTTAGAAATAAGATTATTTCTAAGTAGGGGAGATCAAGGAAGAATTTATATAAATCCACAAAATATAAATTATCTTTTACTGTTTGTTTCCTTGAAGAATAAATTATTTCCAAGTTAAATTAGAATCTTGTACATCAAATAAGCTTTTATTATTGTTACTAAAATTTGAATGTTATGAACTGTGATAATCTGGATTTAGACTGCATTTATTGAAAAGTTTATAATACTAAGGGTTTTATAATTGGAATGATTAAATCCTTTCACAATCTATAAGACTAGAAAAGAAATTACTCAGAATCTCTATGGGTGATACTGTGGCTATGACAAAAGGAAATTGACTTTGATCACCTTTGAATATACCTTATGATGTGTTGCCATTGTGTAAAGCAGTACCCTTTGGGAAGAATTCCTAGGTATATTGGGGAGTGAGGTGTATATTTTGGAACTTTATGTGTGCACTTTTAAAACCAGTATCAAAGAATGAAGTTGGCACCATCTATCTGAGGTTATGATTCTAGAACCCCTTTAGGAGACAGCATCGTCATTAAAGGGTTTTCACTACCTGGACTACAAGAAAATTGAAGGGAATTAGTTCTCATTGGATATATAGTATATGCCAGGCATTGAGTGAACTTTTGGACATGTCGTCTAATAAAGTCTTGGCTACTTGTGAGGTTATTACCACAAACAACATTGCAAAGAGATCTCATTCTATTAGTATAAGCTTTTACCCATTTCTAGTTTAAGGAAGGGAAGCAGAACACATCTTAAGCCTAGATATGAAGCCATCTCTCATAGAGACAATTTACCTTTCCTTTCAGAAGCAGCAAGGAAAAATCTTTTTCTCATGGGACTTTAAGTGTAAATACTTGCATCCTCTGTAGTTGCAATGGGAAAATAAATCTGTTTATAATTACTAGTGGCTATGACTCACTGTAGGGCTTACTTTGGGAAGTGTATGCAACTGCATTCGTCACTACAATTATGAATATTTGTGACTCTTTTCCTACACATTCTTTGATTCTTTACTTCTGAGAATGGTACAGACATTAAATTTTTATGGATTTTTTGGCTTGAACATTAACACTTGTATCCTTTAAAATCATTATGTTTGGGCTGGGGATTTAGCTCAGTGGTTTCGCCGCCTGCTGCACAAGTGCAAGGACCTGAGTTCGATCCCCGGTACCAAAAATAAATAAATAAATAAATAAAATAATTATGCTTCTTTTCAGTCAGTAATGACAGTTAATATCAGGACCTTCTTTGAGGTTCTCATTTTTTGAGCTCCATAGTTCTTTTTAATAAGAGCAAAGCTTCTAGTGGTAACCTCAAGAATGCCTTCTATAATTCAAACATGATGAGATCTTAATTAACTTTTATAACTGAACTTTGTTTTCTGCCTTACAATTGTCCTAGGCTTCTGTGTATCCTTCAATGTGGATGTGAAAAATTCAATGAGTTTCAGTGGCCCAGTGGAAGACATGTTTGGATATACTGTTCAACAATATGCAAATGAAGAAGGAAAATGGTGAGTGTTTCTGCTGTTGTGTAGTTACTTTACAAGGTAATGGAAAATATTACTTGGCTACAGTTTGTTTTATGAATGAAACATCAACAGAAGGGAACTTTTATTCTATAAAATGCAGTCTAGTACTTTGGTAATGAAAACTGACTGCAAGTAAAAGAAGAAAAACTGCTGGGAATTTTAGAGGAAGTGGTTAGTGATGTCTGTTGAAGCCTGGATTGACCTCAAGGAATGACTGTTACTTTGTCAAGGTGTCATAATTACTCTTATTTTGTAGTAACTTGAATACAATAGACTGAAATTCAGTAGGAAGGAGTTGGAGGAAGATGAGACAGTACCCTGAAGTGGTTAATATTGCTTCCATAAATTAGGGCTTATATTTTTGGTGTTTTGCTGCATTGGATCTTTTGCTGAGATTGGTCTGATGTTTTATAATGAATCTTATTGGATTTCTATTACACAATTTAAAGCCTGTTACTATTTGGTTAAGTCCATTTTAAGTAGGATTTTAAAAGGCATATTTAAGTTGTTGAAAATGATGAAATATGAATATTAGAGTTTTTTGCCTTATATTTAATTTAATATAGCAAATGTAACTTTCTAAAGTTGGGTATCATAGAAAAATGAACAGGAATTAGTTAAACTTTGCTTTAGTTTAATAATGAAAACCAAACAAACCCATTTTTCTAGTAACTACAATAATAAAATGTTCACTTAGGCAACAGTGATCTCTCACACCACAATAGTTATTTCACAGATAAAAAGATGTATTTTGCTTTATGATTTTGATTTGGTTTATTTGAAAGTAATCCGCTAAAGACTATTAAAAATAATATTTTAAGTTCTCACACTTTCAAATAGAAATACTGTATATTAGAGGAAATGTGAAATTTATGGGGGTGATTCACTCTTCTACTCTCCTTACAAATATCTCAGATGAGAAATCTGATAAGATTATGAGTTTTTAAGTCCTCTGTCTTTCACTCCCCAGGCCACCTCCCACTTAAGGTTAAACAGGTAAGGTTGTTCCATTAGACACTAGATTCTGCCATACTTTGGAGAACATGAATTCTGTTATTTAATTTTCTCCAAGGGTAAATACCTTCATAAATCATATTTACTGTACATTTTTTTTTTTTTTTTTGGCACCAGGGATCGAACTCGGGTCATTGCGCTTGTGCAGCAGGTGGCGAAACCACTGAGCTAAATTCCCGGCCCTACTGTGCATGTTTTACAAGAGTATCCACCTAAGACTTAGAAATTTTAAAAGTCATCTCAACCCCTCTTATACTGTGGCTATAGTATCCCAAAGTACTTGTTAGTCCACTCTAAGTGCTACTTATGTGCTGAAAAAAATTGCTTTAATTCTTTTGTAAGAATTAAAACTTAATAGAAAATGTAGTCTTATGTCCCCTTTACCTTTCAGGAATTTACTGTGAAGTATAATTTTCTTTATATCTTTGACTTAGAAGCCATGTTTTCTCAGTAGCAGTGTTGTAGGGCCAGGCAAGTTGGAACTATAGAAATACGCCACACTCTGAATTAAATGGAATCCTTCATTGGCATAGCCAGCGTTCCAGAGTGGCTCATGCCAAAAAGACTGGTTAAAGGAAAGGCAGCTTGCAGGGTCTTTTAAGGGCTCGTCTATTTGCAGAGGGCTCAGGGAGAGGGGGAACACAAGCAGAATTTCACAGGAGCAGAATTTTGCTAAGTCAGTGGGGGTCAGGGGCAGTTTCACACAATTATGCATTAACTGAGGGGACTCCCAAGGGAGGAGGAAGGGGAAGGTGACCACCTGGAATCACTCCACTTTACATAAATGGAGTCAGGTACTCAAATGGAGCCAGGTTGGCTATCACAGCAGAACATGTTATATCTCTGATTAAGATTAGTTATTGTTCATTATAGTTAACATGAACTGGAACATTCAAGTAATTGTGATATGGTACAGAAGAATTAAAAAAGAACATAATTGACTTAATATTTCTGCTTTGAAGAGAAGAAACTTAAATATCTTCTGCACAGCACAAACCTTCCAGATTTCCAGATTTAGTGGTAGTCACCAGCAGGCATCTCAACCAAATGAGAAGATGCAAAATGTGGTTTGGGGCTTTCTACTCACTGTTAATCTTTTACTTCATTCTCTGCCTAACCTTTTAATTTCCATTCAAGCAACCTCTCCTGAGGATTTTTAATGACTTCAGCAGCTCTGTTCTCCTAAAGTAGATTTTTCAAGTTGTAGATCCCTCCTTACTCAATTCTCAATTCCCAATATATATCAAAATATGTTGCGCTCCTGCCTCTTAAAAGATTCTGTTTTATGCCAGGTAGGTACCGGTGGTTCATGTGACTGAAGTCTTAATTCCAATATTTGTGTCTCTTACATAAAACCTATTCTAGCTTGAAGGGAGAAATCTTTCTCAAATTTTCTCTTGTTGATTTTAACATAGTGTTTATTTTACATTTCTCATAACACCTTTTGAATTTGAAGTTTTGAGTTTGCTAGACTTCTATCTTGGCTCACTTCATCATCACCCCTATCTTTCATGACCAGAACACTGCAGCTACTGGGGTCAGCTAATGAATGAGTTTCATTCTCCAAAATTACACTTACTACACTTATTTTTTTAAATTATCTGACAAGGCATTTGTGGCACTCTGGTGTAACTGGTTTGCTGAGTGTAACTTTTGGTTTGTTTTTATTAGACATAAAGAAAAAGTTGAGTAAAAAGGATATTAATGAAATACTGTAAATATGAGACACAACTCTTCAGAAAATTATCCTTTCTGGAGGTGGCACATAAATATAGTAGAGACATCAAAGACTAGCTACTTTTCAGATAAGTGTAATAATAGTCACAAGAATGGCTTATTATGAACAGCAAAAGTTTCTCAGTTTATCAAATTGTATTATACAGTATTTGGAGCTTTTTTATAGAGAAAAGATATTTCTCTGACTTTGATGATCCTTGTGTTCATCCATCAGGTGTTTCTTTAGAGATTAGTAATAGTGTTCAGGACATTTAAAAAAATTTTTAATATACAGACAAATCATTGTAAAAATGCTATAGGAAAAACAAAATCCAATATAAAAAATACAATAAAGCTAACTTACATTAAAATTTAAAATAATAATACTATTGAGTTTGATCCCCAGTACCAAAGTAATAATAATAATAATAATAATACCAATAGTTCATGAAACAGCATGCCTTAGGTTATCATACTGATCCTGCGGATTTAGGCAGATATTATCAACATTATCTATCTTTTCTAGACAGGAAGCTGGGATTCAGAAGATGAATTTTGACACATTTTGTATAGCAAGCATGTGATGAGGACAGGATGTAGGACAATAGCTCTCCTACTTTCAGTCAGTTCTTTCCAAGAAAGATTCTTTAGCACCTCACTCTGGAGAAATACCTTCTATGTTATCCAAAGGCATGCATGGTATCCCACTTATGCAGGATATTCAACCTCTAAAATGAAAAGAGATTTCACAATTCAGACCTCTCAGCTGGTCATATGAGTCTAAAATTTCCAGGTCTGTTTTATTCAGAGTATTTGACATAGTCATTCATTCAATAAGTATTTATTAAATGTCTATTTTGTAGCTGGAATGGTTATATGTTCTAAGGAGCTATGAGTGAACAGTGTAAACAAAGATTCCTGCTGTTGTGAAGTTTATACTTTACTGGGGAGGGAGGAACACAAAATAAATGATAAAGTTAAAAACTAGGTATGTTATATAGCAGAATGTGATCAGTACTCAGAAAAAAAAAAAGTAGTGCAGGCCGGGGATTTAGGTCAGCGGCGCTGCATCTGCCTGGCAAGCGCAAAGTCCTGAGTTTGATCCCCAGTACAAAAAAAAAGAAAGTAGAGAAAGATAATGGGATTGGCAATGCTGGAGATTCCTGAAATTTCATAAGCCCTATGCTCATACTTTTCTTGAGTCTTGTTATTTTTATGCAGTCTGGAACAGGGTGTGTTTTTTGGGATTAAAGTGATATATGTATCAGATATATGTAATTTTAAGAATGACATGTCAGAGGAAACAGCAAGTAGGAGAATACACAGAATAGTTCTATATCCCGTATCCTGATACTCAATTTCTTACTATTGTTGCTGGGTAGTCTTCTTCTAGAGATAGGTTACCAAATAAATGTTACCAGGTTTTGGAGTGCCGGGTCTTGGTTTCCAGGCTCTTTCTGTTTCCAACCAAAAAATTAACTACACCAGCAAAATTGGTGAAAAAGTTTATTTGAAAAGTGAAGAGTAGTAGAGAAACTGGCTCTGCAGAGTGAGGAAAGGAAAGGAAAAATCAAAAACCAAGATAAAATAAAAGTGCACCCTGGAGAGCACAAGGCTGGCTACTGTGAGGAAAGCCATGGTAGCACGCCTTCAGTGGCCTCTCATCTCTTTATTTAGTCCACACTTTGGGGAATTATTTGGCATGTGTGCCCTGGAATCTGGTCACGCTTACTCTCCCAGCCAGCTTTTCTCCACCTTGTCTTCCTGCCTCACTATTGCCTCCAACCCTCAAATTTAACTGTCTTAATCCTGGACCACTATATCCTACCACTTTCTGAGCCACACACCTCAGTCTTTATTTGTCCCAGAATATAAACCAAGCCATGATTTTAGCTGCTGTGATGGGTCATTTTCCAATTATTACTTTTTTTTGAGTGATGTCTATTGCCCTGGAGATCAAATGCAGTCTCTACCTTCCTGCTCCAGTGCATATGGAAGCTTTATCTGTGTTCTGTCAGCTGTGCTTCCTTCTCATCAATGTTCAGTCTTTGTTTTCCTGTCTCCACAATCTGCTTTTCATTATACTGTTCAGGTTCACCTTTCATCTATGACACTAGATTTCTCCCAGTTAATAGTACATGTTTTTGAACTACTTGTTTCTCCTCTACACACTTACATTTGTTCTTTTCATATGGTGGTATTTCAGAATTTGAAAAGACATAAAAACATATCCCGAAACATCCCTGACTCTG